TCGCTGCCGTGGTGGTATACCGGCGGTAGGCCAATGGTGGTGCCTCCCACGATGCCCAATTGATTTTCGTGATGTTCGTAGTGCAGCGACAGGGTGCATGATCCCTAGACGTGCCTCCGGCGATGCCCCATTGAAAGCCAACTGAGCCGGTACGCGACATCTCGTCGTACCTGTGACGTGGTTCGCGAGTTCACTTGAAAGATCACTCAGAATGGGGCGTGAGCACAACAATTTGAGCTGAAGGGATGACGGGAATGCTTGCGAGAAGCATGATCAGCTCGTGGAAATAGTCCGGCTCGAAGCCCCATGGGGCCTTGCAAGGCAACGCAATCTGCAGCAAGACGCTGCCGAGGCTTCAAGCCCAAAGCCCTGAAACCCAATGTGAAAATGAACACTTTGTCAACCCCCAAACCCAAAGTCCTAGTCCCTACGATCCGAGACCCGGATCCCTTTTTTTGCACACGAGTCCATTTAAAACAGCCCTGAATACGCTTGCCTTGAACCCTAAGCCTACACCCAAAACCCCAAAAACCCTATAAAAAAAACCCTGAATGCCTGGGGTTTAGGGGTTAAGGGCCACTGCCTTGCCGTAGTACTTCTCTGGCCAAGGTCGGCCGATGCACAAAGCCAAGGTCCCCTGCTTTCCGGCTTCCAGATACCTGGTAAAGCTGAGATTGGCTGAGGGAGTTTTGCCCTAAACCCCAAACCCTTTTCGCCCTGTTCTGCTGGGAGGTTTTAGGGTTTAGGGCTCAGGGTCTAAGGTCTAAAGGTTTGAGTTTACGACCTGAAGTTGTCTGGCTTTCCCTGGGTCTTCATTCCTTCTCTCCCGCCTTCGAAAAGTTTGGTGGTTGTTGCCTCATTGGGGGAGCCCGACAGTTTGGTGTTGAAGTGCTAAGTTAGGATGTGAGTCTTGCTGTTAGCCTAGGATGCCTCCTGATCTACAAAATGAGGCAACAGCCAAGCTGGCCGCGTATGCCTGCTCACTAAACTTGACAAGGCGCATCTCCTTGGGAATGACACCCTTCTCGTCCTTGGCTGGTGGGTTATGCATGGCGGCGGTACGCAACTCGCTTCTAGCTGGAAGAAGGTCTGAAATCAAATAAGTAATCAATCACTTGGTCAATGAGAGTGTCCCAGTCATGCACATTGGACATGATATGCTCGTCGACGTACTCTCGCATCAACTTTCGGAACTGCTTGTGGCTGTCGTTGTAGTAGGGCGTGTTGTACGCCTGGTACCAAGACGGATCGCCGAAGGGATGACCTTCACCGTACACCTGCGGCTGGTTCTCGGGCCCTTGACAAGCACCTAGGATTGTAGAAACCCTGAAATCCTATTCAAGAGCACGGAATACAGCGATTTCTTTTGAAGGATCTGCAAGTAGTATAGAGCGCTGTATAGTAGGATCTGTATTCTATTAATCGGTAGATACCCTACCCTGTGACTTCCTGAAGCCCTGCTGCCTGAAGCGGAACCCAAGAGACCTGCATGTTGAACCGACACAGCAAGGAGTCGGTGGTTCGGGGTCTCAGGATTTGCGAACCCTAAACCCTAAAGGCGCCTCCGTGTTCATGCCCTTTAGCATGGCCGGGCTCACCATGGCTTGAAACTGGAAGCTGCTAAGCGGGCAGGGAAGACTTGTTGCTAAATGCTGCGTGCGCCAAACCTGCTCCAAAAAAAAGATACATTCCCTAACCCTCCAGGTACCTACTATAGAGGGTACTAGAGCCCCTAGGGCCCTATATAGTAGGTACATGGGGGGTTAGGGATTTATACAGTTCATCGGCTATGGCTCAATATCATAACAACCTCTGTTTCAGCTCCACACCAAACCTGCCATTCCGACAGCCCCAGACAGCAGAGCCAACCTTTCAATCGAACGCGAGACAGCGTCTTGGTAGACGTGAACTGTTTCCAAGAAACTGCTCCTACACACCAAAATCGTGACGCATTCCACGCCACCTCAACGCCAACAGGGGCAAACCCTTGAGCGTCACTGCAGTCACGAGGCCCTCGACAGGGTCCATCTTTAAGCCACATGAGACTGAAAACCCCAAACCGCGTGAATCCCTGGCACCCCCGAACCCAAGCCCCAACCCTCAACCCACTAAAAGCCGCAGGGAGAATCCAGGGGCCCCAAGCCAACTGGTACAGGCGCTGTCCCTTCACCTGCATCCAAGGAATGCATTCTTTAGGGTTAAGGGTTTTAGGGTGTAAGGTTTCGACTCACACACTCGCACAAGGCTGGCATGGCGTTCGAAGGTCTGAGCTTGCTACTACGGTCTGAGGTTTAGGGCTTTAGGGTTTAGGGTGTAAGGTTTATTGTAGGATTTAGGGTTAGTAGAGTTTCAAGGGTGTTGTGAGTAGCTATTGAAATGGATACCTCACTTCCGGCCCTACTCACTGGGGCAGTTTGGGGCTTTTAGTTTCGGTGATGAATCCCACAAAAAACCCTAGCCTCAAAAACAGGAAGTTCTCCCGCTCCCTCTCTTTCTGCTTTGCATGCATAGAGCGCACGTGCCTCTGTGTGTGTGTGTGTGTACCGGTCTTGGCAGAAAAGAGGAAGAACTGCGGGGATGCCCCCCAATGTGCCTACTGTAGGGGCCTAAATAATTAGAATAGGGTTTTGGGGATTCCTTATTATAATTATACTATAACTGCAGCTATAATGGGCCCCAAAACCCTATTCTAATTAAGGCCCCTATAGTACTAAGTACTTCGGACTACTAAAGCCCTTTTGGGGCCCTTAGATTCGCATCCGTACTACTCCCGACACAGCAACAGGGGTAGATTAATCAAGGGTTCAGGGTTTCGGGCTTAGGGTGGTCTACGTTGTCGGCTGTGGTCCTAGCTTCTTCAACACGAATCACGAAAGTTTCAAGCAGCAAGCGCTCGCACGTCTTAGGGATCCGAGCCTTCAGAGCCGAGTACATGGGCGGCACCTGCGCAAGAAGAAGGTCTATATATGTCCTAGGTCCTAGGTACACAGGATATTGGGACCTGTCCTGAACCCTAAGTCCATGCAAGGGTGTAGGAGTGAGGAGGTAGGGAGCACAGCTTGGCTGGGACGACGCGAACTCGAATGGCCTGCGCGGTTGAAAACGGCAAGAGTTCGGCCTCAAGATGGTTCGGCTTCCCAAGTGTTTCTCCAGCTTGGCCCCAAACCGGTGTTCGGACGGGGCATCAGTAATTGTCTCCACTGGGTGCCGGTTGCCAACACACAGTCTACATCTCATGGCTTCGTATCCCTGTCATTGTCGCGGATGAAGCCTCTTAACTACTGATTGAACTAATCTGGTGTGCTGTTGCTGCCATGTCCTATGTATGCCCATTAGCTTTGCCAGTGCAATGGCTTCCCAAAGGCAACCGGCCCCTCACGCAAGTGTCCCAGGTCAAGCTGCAAGCAGCCGATCACTGATGCGCATTTGATAAAACCAGAAAAGCAAATCAAACTTTATCAGGTTGAGAACAGGGCCCGTTTCATAGCTTACACCTGGACTCCCTGCGCGAGACCCTAAACCTTAGTGGAGCTTAAACTCGATAACGCAAAGCCTGGGCCTAAGCGCATCTTGTAAGTTTGGCTCAAGGCGTCCTGCCGATAGGCTCGGGATGAGCAACGTCCTGAGCTACCGGGGGTCGCTCTCCCCTATAGTTCCCTTTGCTACAAGCTCCTTCGACCTATGGTGCAGTCTGCTTCAGCACCCCTCAGGTATATATAAACAAGAAACAGGCAGGACAAGCATGATGATTCCGAATCATTAGAAGAGGTACAATAATTAGGACCGGATGAGGGACTACCCGTACTCTCCGACATAGTCGTGTTTGTCGGTGATCTTGTGCGTACACTAACACTAACCATAGACATGAAGTTGGCTGGGCCGAGAAAAGGGAACTGCAATAGAAAGCCGAGGCTCGAAACCCGACACCCTCCCCATATGGGTCTCGTTTAGAATCCATTGCAAAACTTGGAAGCCTGCATGCAGGAGCACTCACTAACCCAAAGAAGTCACTTAAGGGAGCACGGTTTAGAACAACCCTCCGTTGAGGAACGATTGGAATCACTGCCCCTTGCCGGCGATGTTCGCCACAGCAAGGACCTGAACTCACAAAAGCCATCGAAATGTGGCGGGTTTAGGGCTCAGATGAGTAAGTCAAGGCTTAAGATTAGGTTCGGGCTTGGGGATTAGATGGTGGTCGGAAGTTTGACGAAATAGATGGGCAGAAGCAGGAATTACTCTTCAGCAACTGGGGGCGGGAAGGATCTATCGGCCTTTGCCAGGAGCCATGGACAACGCATCCGCTTGCAGCGAACCCTAAACCACCAAAGACATGTCTGCCAACTTCCACGCCTCTTCGCGAAGTCTGAGAAAGTCTCATACGAGCATCGGAATAAAATGAAATCAGGTTTTTTGGGCCTTCAGGTAAACGTGGTTTTGTACCGGCTCTCGGGATGAACCCGGGGGTGCATCGTTTCCTCGGGCGCCATACGCCATGGACTCGAAACTTCCCAAAACGACCCTGTTCGATGCTGCGCCGGCGTCTGTAATATAGGGGCCTTAATAATTAGAATAGGGTTTGGAGGGGTTCCTTATAATGATTATAGCATAATATACCCCAAACCCTATTCTAATTATCAAGGCTCCTCTAGTACAGACTCTTGGCACTGAGCTTGCAGCAGCATGCCACAAGCTGCTCATGGCGGGAAGAAGCGCCTCACAGGAATGCCCCTACCATGGGAGTTTTGTAGTAGTTGTCACTTTGGGGGACCGTGGAAGAGAAAGATTCGCACACGTACATACAACATTCCTGCGCTACAACATTCCTGCGCCGTGCTGCGCCTATCTACAAAAGCTGGGAAAGCAAAAGAGACAAAACAACAAGCTGGAGCACTGTTGACAACTCAAGTGTTGAGTTGGTGCCGCATACCTAGCCGTAGCTTCCCAATGAAGACCGCGGGATCTCACGAATGTACTGCTCCCGGCCTGTTCGTGGTCTGCCAGACGGTTGCTGGCATCACCAGCAAGGACGTCTCGGGACCAAAACAGTTGCGCCTCGGGTAAGAGGCAAGTCTTGTTTAGGGTTTAGGGTTTAAGGGTTTAGGGTTTAGGGTTTTAGGGTTTTAGGGTTTAGGGTTGATGCAGAATCATGCGGTCGGTCTGAGACGGTGGCGGCGTGAGCTTTCCTGGCACCTGCCACGGCTGATTTTGGTCACGGCCACGGTGTCTGGTACCAGTTCGGGAACCCTTGTCTGATCTTTTCTGGGTCAGGGCTTGCCGTTTGCGATGACTGTCGAATGGTGGCGTCAACAGTTCGGCGTCCCACGTGCCAAACCAACCAGTCCCACTACTGAACCTGACAGGTAGATAATCAAACCGAAATGCAGGCAGCTTTGGAAGGCGAGGCCACCTGACATTGTAACTTTCTTAGTTGGTGGCAATTGTCACTGGCATTCAGGTAGCAGGTGCTGACTTTTGAAGCCATGGAAGACACTCTACTCGTACAGCAGCACAGGTCCGGGAAACCTTCTCCCATTCCATTATATTGCACTCACCGGAACGGACCCAGCTGCAGCTGGTTGAACTAAGGGTTTTTTTCTTGAACGACCTTGCCGCGAGGGGGTTAGGGCCTCGGGTCTTCGAATCTGTCCCAGGCCCGGAATGTCACACAAAGCCTCACGAGGCCACACGGCAGACCTTCATAGGTGCTCTGTAAATACATATTGAAAGCAACACTCAACCAACCGTTGTGCAAAACACGGCAGGCAGGCAGAGTTCGGCAAAGAGGGCGTGTTGTTCATGAGCTGCAGCAGCTGGAATGCCCTGATTGAAAGCTTCAGGTCGCAAAGCTTAGGGCTCAAGCCCGGCATCCCCCTCCCAGGCTTGACATCTCTACCCCTTCAGGAGAATTCGTTGTTGGCGGGATGAGAGGGTCAATGCTGAACGGACGGGGGTGGGGGTGGCACCGCTGCGTGGTGCAAGAGAAACTTCACGAGCATGAGGTTACACTCCTTCTCGAAACAAGGAGGGTGCCATGGGATTTTGGGTTCAGGGTAAAGGGTTGTCTTCATTAGCCCAGAACCCGAAACCCAAGTTCTAGATACGAGTTCGAAGCTTCGTTGCGCTTTGGGGCATCTTAGCAACAGGAGTTACTTGCCGATGTGCAGGTTGCAGAAGTCGGCAGCTTGTCGCCCTAGCTTCTTTCAGGGTAAAATAGAAGGTTCGAGGGGTTACTGTGAGGCTTCCCTTTCGGGCTTGGTGGAAGGGTTCCTTAAAGGGCGTTATACAAGGGTTCTAGAAAGGTTACCCGTTCCTTCAGAGTTAAATGCCCCGAATTTTCGGTTTTCAGACTTCGGAGACGGGCAGGCAGGTATCTTTCTGGAGCACTCGTCCAGCTGAACTAGGCAGATGCAGTTGCAGCAGCAGCAGCAGCAGCAGCAGCAGGAGGAGCAGCAGCATGATCAGGACTGAATAGCATCAACCCAGCAGTCGTCGTCGGCGTCATCGTCCTTGTTTCCTTGTTGTTGTTGTCGTTGTCGTTGTTGTTGTCGTTGCTGTTTCTGTTCTGTTTCTGTTGCTGTCGTCGTCGTCGCCGTTGCCCTTGCTGCTGCTGCTGCTGCTGCTGCTGCTGCTGTTGTGGTAGTCGCCTTGTGGTAGTACAAGAAACCTAAGTCATGCCGACAATCGCAGCAAGCTTCTGGGTCACCCACGGAAACGGTTAGCCGGTTAGCACTGAGGATGCCTCTATTTCAGGCAATAGAATCAGTAGCAGCGGTAGCCATGCTGGAAACATGACCAATAGCCATAGGTCATCTTATTTCTGTCCAGAAAAACCATCAGAGTGCATCAGCCCTACCAATACCAGAACCCTAAACCCTAAACCCTGAACCCTAAACCGATTCAATACCAAGAATACGAAGCCTCACCAAAAGCCGGTTCTGCCCATGGCCCGAGAGGCACCAGCCTCTTTCGGCTTTGGATCTCCTCTTCAATGCCGTGCCATGTCGGCAGCTGGCTGTTCACCTGCTTTATGATAAAAAATGCATTCTAATAACCTCATTTACTTTGACTTTAACTACATCATATCATACAATAATGCATCAATTGTATTGTGTGCTCTAATAAGTTATAATGTATAATGTGTTAAATTAAAGTACAGCATGCGACATGATCCCCGACATCGCTCAGCCCCCATCCTGTGCTCATCTACTACTGCTGTGCCCCCTCTGCCTGGGCTCTGCTATCCCCCTTTACGACACATGGGGGTGTCCGAAAATAGGGGACCCTAATATAGTACCCTGAATAGTAGGATCCTCATTATAAGGACCCCCAAAATAAGGTACCCCTAATTGTCGGAAAGTCCCACATTGAACCAAACCACAGCCTCTCTCTTCTTCTTCCCAAGGGCATGGAGGGCGAGTTAAGCCCCCCGGCCTATTGGCCCCCCCGTTTGTTATGGGGCATTGGGGAGGAGTGAAAGTCTTTGAAGCATATCGGGCTTCACGAAGAGAGTGCTTTTGCTCTCTCTCTCTCTCTCTCTCTCCGTTCTGTGGACTTGATCACCCGTCAGCTGCGACGCCAAAACACACTTTGAGAGATGTGCCGGAAAAGGGCCAAAGCATCTACACAACTCTTTTCTCAAGCCCCTATGACCCAGCAGTTCAACAAAGGAGGCGTAGATGAAACCAAACCTCCGTCTCGAGGACGCAATGTGAAATCGAATTGACGGACCCGACACCCAAACTTTCACTCACACCCTCAGCAAAACTTCCCTGAACCCTGAATTGAATCGTTCACTGGCTTCATTGTTGGGCTACTGTACCTCTGGCCCTCTGAAGCCCTTTTAACCTCTAAACCCATTCAACTGAAGACTTCTCTGCGGCGCGCCAGCCACTCGGCAACTGTGGCGAAGTCGACGACGCCTTCCGGGGCCTGACAACGTCCGG